TACGGGCTGGTGCAAGTTACTAACGGGAGGAAAAAGTTGAGGAAATGCAGCGCGTAACAGCCCGGCTTTGGTGAAACGTTTAATTACGGGTTGTCCAGGCTGTGTTCTCTAACGAGTTTTTGTGTAAATACAGAGAGGAGGAGAGAAACGTTACCGAGTTGTGAGCAAGGGGGGGGGAACACCCATTCCGGTTTGTGGGGGGGGGGGGGGGGGAACGCATCTTTGACACGATCTGTTGGCAGAGCAGGGGGGCTGTTGGAGAAGGCAGCACCTGCAGACAGAAAGGCTCCCGCACCAACGGCGGGCGGGCGGCTGCTGCTGAAACCCTTAATGCTAAAACTTTTTGTCCGGTACTTGCATGTGAGTGCATATGCGTGAAGTCTTGCGTCGTGCCTTATCTGTTGGTTTCTCAGCTCGCTGGCTCTTTGAGGCAAAACCGTTGCGGGATGCATTTTGTAAGTGAATCAGGCCGAGGATTTGGTCAGCATTGTTATACTTTCTCATTTCCTATTCTTGCTCTGTGATTTCCTGTAAACCTTGACAGAGAATTTCAGATCTGTTCTCCCCGGCTTGCCCTGAGGGCGTCAGGATCTTTGCCTTTACTTAATATTTCCCTTTGAGTATTTGTCATGCTTTTTTTTCGTCCCTGGCTGGTTTGTGGTGGGAATAACTTTCTTCTCTCCGTTTTTCCCCAGAAGACATGAAGGAAGTGAAGGAGCCAAGGCATCGCAAAGACAACAGGCGCCCAGACCTGGAGATTTACAAGCCTGGCCTTTCCCGACTGAGGAGCAAACTCGTGCCGCCAAAGCATGAGGCCTCAGAGAAGGAGAGGAGCAGAGCTGAGGAGGAGAGTGCCAGCGACAAGGGCTCTTCAGGAGGACGGGCTCCAGTCACGGAGGATTTCGGCAAAGGTGATGGCCCCAAGCAGAACGGTCCTTCTCAGGAAAATGAAGAGACAGAGACTAAAGGTGGTATTCAGAGCCAGGAGAACTTGTCCAAGCACCCCGCTCCAGATGAGTGGTGTCCCAAGACCACCAGGAGAACCAAAAAGCCGGACCAGCAGATCTACCAGCCTGGGAAACGCCTGCATTCAGCTGCTAAAGAACCGGCCCTGCGGTCAGCTACCGAGGAAGTCACCAGTAAGATGGAGCAGCTGAAAGTCGAGGGAGATGAGGAGGCTGGGAAAGGTACTGGAAAAGACAACAACAGGAAAACCAAATCAAGCAAGGAGGATAGAGAGGGGGGCCAGGCAGGGGAAGGAGTGAAAGCCTCAAGGGGAGAAAAAGGAAGACGAATAGAGCGAAGCGACAGGATAAGGAGAACAAGTGACGAGGTGATGCAGGGGAAGCTGGGCTCTACCAAACGGTACTCCCGCTCTGACAAGCGGCGGAGCCGATACCGCACCTGCAGCACAAGCTCAGCCGGAAGCAACAACAGCGTAGATGGAGCACTGCTTGTGGATGGGGTGGAGAGGCGGCAGGAGCGTGCCAGAGAAAGAATACGTCCTAGGAAGCAGCTCTCCGCGTCCTCCACTGACTCCTTGGACGATGACAGAATCGATGAGGCAGTAGCATATGTCTCCAGCAGGAATTCTGACAAGAAAAAGCATTCAGAGCAGAGTCGAGCTTCTAGGAGTGAGAGTGAGTGGAGCAGCAATGGCAGGGAAGTCAAGGGACCCTTTCGAGTCACATTTGACAGCAAGACTATGAACAGGGATATCAGTCTGGCAGATACAGATAAAAAAAAGCCCCTGAAGGCATTTGTTAGTTGTAATGACTCAGAGGCTTCGGAGGCGAGGAGCCAGAGCAGAGAGCCCCAAGGGAGGGGCCGTGGGATTCTGTTCCTGCCTGCCAACACGGACCTCTCTGCCAGCACTGCGGGCTCCCCCGAACCCAGTCACCCTGGGCCCAGGCTCCTGCTCGGTGGTGCTGGGAGTAAAGGCCCCCGAAGCAGGGGCCGAGGCGGCACTGTTCGCAGGCTGTGGGACCCGAACAACCCGGACCAAAAACCCGCTCTGAAGAGCCAGACCGCTCAGCTTCACTTCCTAGACACGGACGATGAAGTGAGCCCTACCTCCTGGGGGGAAGCCCGCCAGGCCCAGACATCCTACTATAAGTTCCAAAACTCCGACAACCCCTACTATTACCCTCGGGCCTCTGGTCAAGGCCCCCAGTATCCTTATGGCGGGTACTCCCTGCAGTATCCTATGGGTCCAAGCAACGGTGTGTACCCAGGAGCCTATTACTCTGGGTACCCTGGCCAGGCGGGGCAGTACATGTGCGGCCCACTCCCCCCGACTCCTCTGAGTCCTGAGATGGAGCAGCAGATGCGGAACATGCAGCAGCAGGAGCTCAGCAAACTCCTCCGCGAGGCTGGGAACCAGGAGCAGCAGCTCAGCAATCTGCTTTCCAGAGACCGCATCAGCCCGGAGGGGCTGGAGAAGATGGCCCAGCTGAGGTTTGTGGCTGTGCTGTAGAGGGGCGTGTGACTGAGTCATTTCTAGGGTGAACTGCTACCAGAACTGTTATCCAGAGAATGGTGCTCCTTGGGGATCTGGTAGAGTGGAGACGTCGATGTCTCGGAGACCGGGAGATGGGGCAGTGGCTCACTAGCTTTTGATGTGCTGGGACTGTTTGTCACGTACCGGTGGTGTGTAGGTATCAGAAAGAAACTGTGGGTGAAGATATCATTTGTCTGGGCTGGGAGCTAAGCCGTGGCTTCTTGTGGTTGTGGAATGCCTTGCCTGTGTCGCAGGGATGCGAAGGAGCAGGACGAGCACCCGCTGTGGCTCTTGGATTCTTCTTGCTCTTGCTGGAGCTGGTCTGTCTCAGTTCCAGTGCTCTCACGTGCTTTCAGTATTTGCTGGCGGACTTCTGCTTTCTCACCTGTCCTTTTTATCTGCTGTCTGATTTACATTGCGGGCTTCAGGGGTGGCAACTGTCGGCTTGTGCTTGTGAAGTGTTGCATGGGTTCCTGATGCTGTGTAACAGTGACAGCACCTTTCAAGCGCTGCGTAGTTTTGCTCTTGATACCACTCAACCCTGTGACATACGGCAGTCCAGTGGGAGTAGCCTGGTGATGCCAGCTAGCGAGAGGGAAGTGACACTTGTGCTCTGGAGGGTAGTTCACATGGCTGTAGCAAGTTTCTATTTGGCATCTTTCGCATTTACTTGTGACCTCTGTGTCTCCGGAGCTTCTCTGGAGACTTATTTTCAGAGCTGACCGGCAGCAAATCTAGCAGGTGAGCTCATTTCAGGGCTTGTTCTGTGTTTTGGGGACTTGCGCTATAGACCACAGGGTGGGATGTGTCTGTGCTTGAAGCAGCACTGGAGGTTTCAGGTCTTCCTCAAGGTGTCAAGGTCACCCAGAGTTGTTGTCTGGAGGGAGAGGAAAGACTGCGCAGTGCTGCTGTGGCCCGTGTAAAGCCCACCCTGCCCTAGCAGCGTAGGCACGGTTGGTTCCGTCCCTACCAGCAGTGTCCCTCCGTCTCAGTGTGTCTCCTGCCTGTCTCCGAGTGCCTGCTGCCAGCCTGTCTGCGGAGCTGTGTTGGGGCTCTTGGATGCAAGTGCAGCTTATCAGATGTCCATCTGCAGAAACGTCTAATTCGCTTGGTCGGTGTTTGTGCTGTCTGAGCGTGTGTGTGCAGGGTTTGGGGACTGCGTGGGGTAGGGCAGCAGAACCACGTTCTGTGCTTTGCCCAGGAACCCGCCAGCATCCTTCTCTTACTCTGTCAGGCTCTTCCAGGTGTTGCCATCTGGCTTTGCTCCAGGCTTTACCATCTACGCTGTTGTACTGTTTTCTGTAGGGCTCAAAGCATTATAAAGGATAAGGCTGCCAAGGCAGTAACAGCTGAGGATCCCCTCTACCGTAAACTTGCTCCACATATTGCGGAGCTGTTTCTAGCCTGCAACTATTTTATTAAATTCAGGGGAGGAATTCTGCTCCAGCGGCCGGGCAAGGCTGTAGGTAGCTGGTGAGGGAAATGTGATCTCTGTGACTCCGAGGCTTTATTTCCTTCTGCGACTCCGAGGCTTTATTCCCTTCAGGTGTGATATTCCCAGCTCTCATTCATTTTTGAGGAAGCAGGGTATCTGTTTCTGCTGTGTATTTTGGTTGGATGGAAGGGAGGTGGGGATCATTTTAAGGGCAAGACCCCTCTTGCCCCCTGGTTCTTTGTGTGTTCCTGGCCCGTAGTAGCCAGACTTTGCGCTCAGAAGGAGCAGAGCCTGGCAGTGCACGCTTTCTCTGTGTTAGTATCAGGAGACACTTGTGCCTTGCTCTTGCCAGTGGCAGAGCTGTAGCGGAGCTCCTTGCTCTTTGCCAGGCCCTGATCCAGTCTGATGCATACATACAAGGGAGATGGTCCTTTCAGATTTGCCCTCTTGGAGCAGGAAGGGTGTTTGATTGCAACAGCTTCCATCTCCCTCTGGGACATGTGTGGAAGCATTGATTTGCCATAGCGTGCGAGCCAGCTGAACTGCTGACATCTTGTGCTTGCTGGATGAAAAGCAGCAGGTGGCTCAGCACATGTTCCCTGGCAGCTCAGGCCCGGGCTGGGCAGTTGCTGTTGCGTTGACTGCTGATTGTGTTTCGCTGTAGGGTGGAGATGCTGCAGCTGTATGAACGGTGCATCCTGATGGATATCGAGTTCTCTGATACCCAGAACGTGGACCAGCTGCTGTGGAAAAACGCGTTTTACCAGGTGATTGAGAAATTCCGGCAGCTTCTCAAGGACCCTCAGGGGGAAAATGCCCAAGAAATTCGGAACAAACTGCTCCAGCTTCTAGATGAGGTAAGAAGAGAGAAACATCCCCAAACTCCTCTAAACCTTTGGGTGGGATTGTCTGATGTTTAGAATGGGATGGTGTAACTGGGCAGCTAGCCTTCTTGATCCTATTCATATCTCTGTGCGTCTTAGGCCATCCTTGTGGAAGGAGAATGCTCAGACAGATTATGGTTTAGTGTGGCAGGTGTGAGTCCAGGTGGCCATTTGTTATAATTTAAACCAGGCTGGTTTGGGTGTGTTTTATGTTAACTGGAAATTGATTTAAGCTAAAATGAAATGAATGCCCTGAAGTGGAAATCAACAGAAGCATTCCTGGAGGTGTTTGTGCCATCTCTATCAAATTTGCTTGAAAGTCATTCTGTTAAACTGTGCAGCTCAGTTTACTCTCTGTAGAAGGTAG